GCCAACTGATTGGCTCCTCTGCGGTGATGCTCATTGGGCTGTTTCCCCACCCTTTCAGACCACGGAGCTGCTCATTGGGGGACTTTTTTTTGGCTCTGCCCACACCACCCAGCCAATCAGCCTCAAGAGCAGGAGGAGTGGGGGAAGCCGGTGGTAGCAGTGGGCTCTGAAGGTTTTCCTGAGGAGCTGTGTGGTGTGGTGTGTGTGTTCTAAAAATAAAGTTTGTTTCTTTTGACAAGTGGCTCCTGAATTGTGCCCAGCCAGACTGCGGCAGCTATTTTGGGTCTTTAATCTCCCAGTATAGAATATAGAATAATTTTGTCTATAACTATAAAATAGCTTGCTGGAGTTTTGATTGGGATTGTATTGAATTTGTAGATTAATTTGAGAAGGATCACCATCTTAACAACATTGATTGTTCGTATCCATGAACATGGAATATCTCTGTGTATTTAGTTTTTTTCTCAATTTATTTTATTAGAATTTTGTAGTTTTCTTTATAAAGATCTTGAACATACTTTTTTGGGTTCATACCTAAAGTTTTCATTTTGGGGGGTGCTAATGTAAATGCTATTGTGTTTCAAATTAACAAGATTGTTATATCTTCTTGGAGAACTGAGCATGTAATCATCATGTTATAGGCCCTCTTTATCCCTGATAACTTTCCTTAATCTGAGAAATATTTTGTCTGAAATATAGGTATTCCTGCTTTCTTTTGATTAATATCAGTATAGTATATCTTTTTCCATTTACATGCTTATTTATTAAAAATTGGTTTCTTGTAAGAAACATAGTTAGATCTTGTTTTTGATCTACTATGATATATCTCTGTCTTTTAATTGGTGTAGTTATTATTATTGTTAATTTGTAGTGCTTGGGATTGAATCTAGGACTTTATATATGTTAGGTAAGTGCTCTACCACTGAGTTAAATCCTCAGTCCCTGGTGTAAATACATGCACTTAAGAATACTCTACTTATCATGAATGTTATAGCAGATATTGTAAGTTGGCTCACTGAACTCCATTCTAACTTCTTTGTAGTGAGCAAGTTAATCTGTAAAAATTCAATGATATTTCCTTATTTCCAAAACATCCATTTTTAAAAATATTTTGGCACTGGGGATTGAACTTAGGGGCACTGGACCACTGAGCCACATCTCCAGCCTTATTTTGTGTTTTATTTAGAGACAGGGTCTCCCTTGAGTTGCTTAGTTCCTCACCATTCCTGAGGCTGGCTTTGAACTCCTGTCTCAGCCTCCCAAACCACTGGGATTACAGGCACGTGCCACTGGGCCTGGCAAAACATCCATTATTTAGTTAAAGTTTCAAAGAGAAACTGAAGATTTTGCCAAGCAGATGTACTGTGGAATTTGGGAAGTGGAAATGAGCATAGTGAGGTGGAGGTCATGTTCTTTTTATTTCTACTTTTTCTTCTGTCAAGCAGGGTTGTTAAATTACAAGTAGTAGAAAACAAACCAAAGTGGTTTAAACTTGGAGGAGCTTATTTTTCTTATACAGCAAGAAGTTTGGATGTAGGCAATTTCTGGGTTGGTGCATGACTTACCAATATCAGTATCAATCAGGACCAGTATCTGTGCAATTCTTTTGGACTTTCTTTAATAGTTACAGGGTCATTCTGGCAGGTACAGTCATCAACTCTCTCTTCAATGCAAAAAAAAGAACAAACAACAATAAAAGTAGAAAAGGGAAATGGCAACACCAGCCATGCCTACATCTTACAAGGAAGGCAAAAGCTTTCCTAGAAGCCCTCACAGCAGATTTACCTATAGATTTCACTGTCCAAAATTAGGTACATTGACAACCTGAACAAAATTAGGATTCTACTGACAAGGAAAAAATGGGGAAAATGAAGGGTTACTGTACTGCATAGAATTCACAACTCCTACCCTTAGGAACTAATGATGATTTGTAGAGACAAATGTGTGCATGAGTATTGAATAATAATAATAATAATAATGGAGTTAATATAAGACAAAGTATTGACTTGAGCCAGTGACTGAGCAGAAATTTTAGTGGAGATGGGAACTTTAGAGTTCATATGTAGTCAATCCTCATTTTAAGGAGAGCTGATATGAAGAGCTGTGTGTTTCAGTTGGGCTCCATGGACAGACTCTTTCTTGCTGCCCTGTATCTAGTTGATGTCACCTGCCAGGGAAGAAGTGTGTTCTGAGTCAATGTCCAGATGACATTCCTTCTTCAGGATTAATGGGCAGGGAGTAGTGAACTTGTCCTGGACTCCCAGGATGAAAAATAACTGTACAGCCACACATCTTTCTTGCTTCCCTAGCTCCAAGGGAGATCAGATGAGAACATTCTAAAAAGTCAAATTCAAGATACATATGTCTTCTTTGGGTAGAAGCCCAAACATTTGTTTAAACTTTTGGTTCATTGCTCCTAAACACTTTGACTTGACCTATTTATATTTGTTTTCTTTCTTCCATATGCACTTGGGATTAGTGATTATAATAGTTTTCTAGGGTTGACATAACAAAATGCTGTAAATTGGGTGCCTTAAACAATAGAAAATTATTATCTAAGGTCAAGGCATCAGCAGGATTGATTCCTTCTGTAGGTAGAGAGGGAATCTGTTCCTGTGTCTCTCCTAGCATTTGGTGTTTTATGGGCAGTCTTTGGTGTTCCCTGGCTTGCAGATGCATGAACCAGCTCTCTTCCATCATGTTTGCATGGCCTTCTGCCGTGTGTGTCCAAGTTCCCCTTTTATGTAAAGACACCAGTCATCTTAGATTATGAGACCACCCTACTCTAGTATGATCTAATCATAACTAATTACATATGCGAAGACCTTATTTCTAAATAAATTCACATTCAGAAGTGCTGGGGGTTAGGACTTCAACCTGTGAATTTTGGTAAGGATACTATGGACCCCTAACAGTGGTCCAGGGAGAAAGTTTAGCCCTATGGTTCAGAGCTAAGGCCAAGTGAAACTGCCTTGGATTAAATTTGTACTGTGCCCCTTACTTGCTCAGTGACTTTGGGCAACCCTTTTCTGAATTTTATTTTCCCCATCTGTAATATCCACCTCAGAGATTTATTGAGAGAATAAAATTTATTGAAGAGTACAAAGCAAGTGAGAATAAATAATGTTTTGTTTTGTTGTTATGCTGAGGATTGAACCCATGGCCTTGTGCATGGGAGGCAAGCACTTACCAACTAAGCTATATTCCCAGCCTAATGATTCTTATCACTGTTCAGAGCTTGTTGTCCATCTGCTGTTTGGTACTCCTCCCTTTGGCAGACTTTGGGTAGCTCTTTGGACTGGAATCCTCTCTCCATCATCAATGAAACTTGGAAATAGCTGTGGTTCTTGCCCTTGGCCTTTCCAGAATTGCCAGAGTGCTTCCATTCTCACAGTGAATTGACCACATTGATGTTCCTCATTTGATGTAAGAGCCTTCTCAGAGAAAACCAATGCATGCCCAGAGATGATCTTTCTGAATTAAGAAAACTTTCCCCAATATCTAAGCTTTCTGAATTTACCTCTTTGCTGGAAAAAAATAAACCAGTTTCCAAATTTGGGTGATGTTTTTGGTTAACTTTCACCTCAAGAGATTACAAATGTTCATTGTTTCTTTAGCATCTTCCATTAACACAAACAAATGCTGTTTTTCCACACTGCCTTTCTCTCTGTGACACACAGTAATATCCAGTGCTTGCATAGCAGGAAGCTGGCTGTCTAAGGACTGGAACAAAATTGATGATTAGCAGACTTAGAGGGTTTAAGAGATAGAAGGTCCCTTGAAGAATAGGAGTCAAAAAATGAGATCTGTAGGCACTGAGGTAAAATATAGAGGGAGAGAAATTTAGGGAAAAGAAGCAAAGGAAACACATTTATTAAATATGAAAAATTACTTTGAGCAGGGTACTTGACTTTTTTATGCAGATTTAATATTATCAAAATGACCATACTACCAAAAGCGCTATACAAATTTAATGCAATTCCAATCAAAATCCCAATGACATTCCTCATAGAAATAGAAAAAGTAATCATGAAATTCACTGGAAAAATAAGAGTCCCAGAATAGCTAAAGCAATTCTTAGCAGGAAGAGTAAAGCAGGTGGCATCATATATACTAGAAATTAAGCTATACTACAGAGCAATAGTAACTAAAAAAGCATGGTATTGGCACCAAAACAAACTGGTAGACCAATGGTACAGAATAGAGGACACATAGACTAACCCACAAAGTTACAATTATCTTATATTAGACAAAGGCACCAAAAACAAGTATTGGAGAAAAGATAGGCTCTTTAACAAATGTTGCTGGGAAAACTGGAAATCCATATGCAACAAAATGAAATTAAGCCTCTCTCACCATGCACAAAACTCAACTCAAAATGGATCAAGGACTTAAGAATAAAACCAGAGACTCTGCATCTAATAGAAGAAAAAGTAGGCCCTAATCTTTATCATGCCAGATTAGGCCTCAACTTCCTTAATAAGACTCCTTTGGCTCAAGAATTTAAATCAAAAATCAATAAATGGGATGGACTCAAACTAAAAAGTTTCTTCTCAGCAGCTCTTCTCTCCCCTCCAGCTTCTGATAAAGACCCTGCCCCCCCACCCCCGCCCATGATCACACACTTTGACAAACCATTTTGAACATATTCTTTGGCTTCACTTGCCTCTCCCATTGCCACAAGCTTAGCCTCATGTGCAGTGATCTGTTCCCCGTCCTGTTTCTGCTATAAAAATGGAGTGGCTGGAAGTCCTGTCAGGGAAGACCAATCAGACATAGCTTTACAAACACTGTTTAGTCTTCAGAGATTTGGGCAATGTGCCTTTTCTTTTGTCAAAAAAGGAGAGAAGTTAATTAATCATTGTCCAAATGAGAAGATATCCTGGGGTTTGGGGATCTTTTAACAAAGGTTATGATGTTTATCTGAAATGTTATGGAGTTGGCATGTAACTCTGTGTGATGAGGTCATGTTGGGTCACCTCCACTGGTTTCATCTCTAGGCATACTTCAGAGAGATCCCACCAGATGAGGGAGGAGGCTGAGTCAGACAACAAACCACTTTACTGGACCCTCTCCTATGCTGTGAGTTCTTCTTGAAAGGGTTGGATCCTCTGCTTTTCTTGTAGCAGAAGTGCCGTGGGGGATGGGGTTTGTACATATACTGATGAGTTATCACCACAATAATGCTATATAAAAAGCATCCCCAAATTCAGCGACTTAAAAAAACAATCTATATATTCTATATAAGCTAATGATCTACAACTTATCTGGGTAGGATTCTGTCCCAGCTTCTGGAATGTAGATTAAATTCAGGTCAGCTCCATATTTTGTATTCTGGGCTCCAGGTCAAAGAGGAAGTAACTACTTGGAATATATTCTTCTTATGTTGGGTTACCAACACAAAAAATCACAGCCCAGCCATACAAGCATATTTCTAGCCTCTGTGCATATCACATTGTCCAGACCAAAGTCAGGAACTGAATATTCTCCACCTTTTGTGAAGCTATTACAAGATGGTGGATATTTCTATTATAGAAGAATGACAGATTTGGACTAATAATTGAAAGTAACATGTACCCTGTGATAATGTTGACATGAATCTCTTCAAATAAACTTTTGTTTCGACTTGGATTTTCCTAAGGTGTCAAAGTAAGTGTCTATGTCATTGGGAATTGAGGAATGAGGAGTAGGTATGGGAAGAGGGGAGTGAGAACAGCACATTCACATTTTCAGGATTCGGGGTATCTACAGCTCTGTGCAGATACGTTGCTCTGTGTGTTTATGCATTTGACAAAGCAATGCAAGAAAGGACATGGAAGTTGTAAAACTGCTTTAGAGTTCATTCACTAACTTATAAAAAGAAAGCCCTTCGAAAAGATGGTGGAATTTGGTGTCAACATACCTTATATACAAGCAGAGATTTGATAAATTGTGGTATAAAAGTATATTGAAAATTGCAATGCAAAAAAATTATGAATGTAATGCACTCCTCTATTGTGATGTATGTAAGAAATGTTAAATAAAAAAAGATGGTGGAATGAGATGGTCATCTTACCCTAGGTGAATGTACAATTGCAAAAATGGTGTGACCCTACTTTGTGTACAACCAGAAATGTGAAAAATTGTGCTCCACTTCAGTGAATTGAAGAGCATTCTACTGTCATGTTTATCTGATTAGAACAACAAAAACAAAAAAGTAATACAGAGTTTGGGGTGGAGTTCAGTGGTAAAGTACATGATTAATCTGTAAGGCCCTGGGTTTGATCACTGATATCAAAAAAATAAAATAAATAAAATAAAAGTTTAAAAAAAGAAAGCCCCTTGATTTCTGAAAAGACAAACGCTTAAAGCATATAAAAGGAGTACATGGCACAGAACAGTTCTTTTTCATTTTGTTTGATTAGTGGTGTTTTAAAGGGAAAAGTTGGTGTCATTAGCTAAGATGCTGCAAAACTATTAACTAGCAATTTTACTTACAGCTGGTAAGTCTATGACTAATTAACAAAGGTGGGGAGAAAACAAGGGGGGAAGAAATTGATGGGTGTACCAATATTTGTTGGCACCATTGATTTCCTGTTTGGTAGCCACTGAATGACAAAATTAGCACTATTAAAGGGTAGAGAAAAGGAGGGATGGGGGAGATTGTCTAACAGGTACAAAGAGAGCTAGATAAGAGGAATATACTATGGTGTGTTATTTTTAAATTTTTTTTAAGAGAGAGAGAGAGAGAGAAAATTTTTTAATATTTATTATTTATTTTTCAGTTTTCAGCGGACACAACATCTTTGTTTGTATGTGGTGCTGAGGATTGAACCCGGGCCGCACGCATGCCAGGCGAGCACGCTACCGCTTGAGCCACATCCCCAGCCCTCATTTTTAAATATTTTGAGTTGAGCATTATATACTATATACATGTAATAAATTATCATACTGTACCTAATAAATATGTACAATTATTCTAATGACTAATGATGCTGTGTATCTTTTTATGTCCTGATAAGTGACTTGAATATCATCTTTGAGAAGGATCTACTGAAATCGTCTACCCACTTTAAAATTCATTTTGAGTTAATTTTTATAAATGGAGTAAGGTAGGAATCCAAGTTTATTTATTTATTTATTTATTTGTATATGAATGTCTGGTTGTTCCATCATCATTTGTTGTAAAAATAATTCTTTCCTCACTGAATTGTGTTGGCATCTTTGTAAAAAAAATCAATTAACATAATATGAGGATTTATTTTGGTCTTGTAGTTCTATTTCACCAGTCTATATGTTCATCATTATGCTAGAACCGTACCTTTGAATTATTACTGTTTTTTTTTTTGAGACAGGGGTTCATTACATTGCCCAGGCTGGCCTCAAGTTATCCTCCTGCCTCAGCCTTCTGAGTAGCTGGGACTATAAGTTCCCACCATAGTAAGTTTTAAAATTGGGAAATGTGAGTCCTCCGACTCTGAGAAAGGAATTTTCTAGGGAGTTGTCTGATCCAATAGTGACAGTTATCTAGGAATGGGGCTTTTGGGAAACCCAAATTTGTTCCAACCTCTCTAGAAGACATTATTATTAATAGGGTCTACTCGTGTGCTGGTTTTCACAGCAAGTATGATTACAAGGCTGTTAGTTTTCAAGGTAATTGGGGAGCTAGGGAGATAAGAATGGGAATAGATAAAGTTAAAATGCCACTGAGCTCCTGATCCTTGTCAAGATTCAGCCATTATTTTTTCTTGAAGAAATGCTCCTTGAATTGTTGAAGCCTTTGGTTCATTTTCAGAGTTCTTAAAAAAAGTCTATTTTGACAGTTTTTTCCAGTGTTCTTGTTGCATTATGGAAGAGTAAGTTTTCAGAAGTTCTTACTCTGCCATTATAGAAGTGCTTCTCTTTTGTTATTTTATTTTTAAAATTTTCTAACTTATTCTTTTGTTTTTAATATTTGCTTTTTAGTTGTAGTTGAACACAATACCTTTATTTTTATTTATTTTTACGTGGTACTGAGGATCGAACCCAGATCTCGCACATGCTACGCGAGTGCTCTACTGCTGAGCCACAATTCCAGCCCCACTCTTTTGTTATTTTAAAATAAATATATGTGATAGATGGGAGTGGAGGACCAGGAAACTATAGGATACCTCCAGTTCCAAATTATCATATCATCAGTGTTATGTATAATAGATAAACATGTTGACACAGAGTGTGTATGTCAGAAACTACCTGAGTTTACACTTACTTAGTTGTAAGACATAAGTCAAGTCAATTAAACAATTATTTCTGGAGCAGGTACTTTGATGATCCAAGTACTACATCATAAAGAAGAACAAAGATGAGTGAAATTTTATTATTTAAGAATTTTATTGCAGAAGCAAACATTAACCTAACTTGAACTTGTCTACACAAGGAGAACTTTTATAGGAAGAATACTGGGCTGTCTTATGTAATAAAAGTGGAGGTTAGACAACCAAACTTTGGGTAGAATGGCTATAAAGCTGTGAGATAGAGTGTCAGAGACCCTGGGGCCAAGGCTCAGAAACCTCCACAGCGCTCTCTCTGTCTTGCTCTCATCTCTGTTCTCCCTCTGAAGCTTCTTTCCCTCTCACCATGGAATAGCCTTCTCCATCTGGTCAGAGTGTTAGCAGCAGCAGATTTCATCATCAATCCTGAATCTTTTGCCATGTGACTTTGCAACTCTTCTCACCAAAGACTCATATGACTTAAGAGTAGTCATATGAAGGTTATGAGAGTCTCCCCTACTTGTAAACTATTCAGTTAGCCTGCCACTGGTTCATGGATGCAGATAGAAGACACGTGATTACTGTGTCAGAGAAAAGGACTTTTTTTTCCATGATGCAACAAACAGCATGAACTTCATGTTTGCCTTAATCCCTTTTAAAAGCTCCCTATCAAGTTCCATTGAGATGATTCAGAGGGGCTCAGGTAGCTGCCACATATGCAGTAGATATGTCAAGCTGAAGAACTTCAAGTTTAGAGAACCCAAATATTTTGTAATGGACAATAAGCCTGCTTGACCTTTGTCCCAGGGGAAGACATTATTATTACTATACTAACAGTAAATTGCTTATCTTTTGATCTAGAGGGAGACATTATTTTTATCCTTGAAGATGTAAGCAAATTTGGCCCTTTCTCTGGAGGGTGATAATATCTCTGCTAACAGGGCTGTTTGTTACATGAAGTTTGGAACATGTTCAGTCAATGCTTTGCTAGCAAGATATAAAGAAATGTGAAACCCTTGAAGAATCATCTAACATGTTCAAGTTCTGAGCCCAGATCTCAAGAGGTCTCACATGTTTCCACTTGCCTTATTTTTCTTTTACCTTCCTCTATGAGAAGAACATTCCATAGCTAGCACACTTATCCCAGAAAAAGAATAAAAGATATGCAAAACAACTCCCGACCTTGGCCTAGCCAAGAGCAGCTGATTGATTCTCAAAGACTCAAAGAAGCATGAACTTCATGAATACTTTCTCTTAAGTTCCTATGAGGACTTGTGGTTGTTCTGCAGTAATAGCTTCCTGATGCAATGGCCTTGGATGGCAACTCAGTTTTTCACCTTATGTTCTCACCGATCCAAGAGGGACTGGCACAAGCTGTGTGGGGTTCTGGCAAAGGAATCTGATTGGCCCATTCTTGATTGTAAGTTAACAAGTTAGCCAGCCTCAGTTTCATGTAAGTAGGCCAATAAAGTGTGACCACAAAGACACAATAAAACATAGATATTATCACCATCATCATGTAAGTAAATGAGGGACCATTCTTGGAGAAGGAAGGTATGGGCACATAGCTTAAGCATTCATGGTCTGGGAGGGACAATGAGACTCTACTTAAGTACAGTGCAGCTATGTTCTACCTACGCCAATTCAAGTATCCGTGTGTGTGTGTGTGTGTGTGTGTGTGTGTGTGTGTGTGTGGCTACTGGAGGTCAGAATCTGATATTAATTCAGACAGCCTAAATTCCAAGTCACCATTAAAAAGATTAAGTTATTTGCTGCGCTGAATATGGCTCTAGTAATTTTTAACAAATATTTCCTGCTATACATATAGTATATACTTGTGCTTCTTTCTGTACAGGATCTTTATTACCATATTACCATATATTCTGTATTCAGTGGGAAATTAAAGAAATTTTTAAGAGTAATTGGCTTGTTGTTCTCTGTCCCTTCTTAGTAAGTTCCTTCTCCAGAAATTAAATAGGTGTCAGGTAGGAAAGAGGGCCTGAGTAGGTAAACATTGTTTTAATTATCTGGTAGGGTAGAGGCTATTTAAGTAGAATCTAAGTATAGTTTTATAAAAATAAAGCATTTTTAAAAATGTAGCTGAATTTGTGGATTACAATTCATGCCTGTGACTTTAGTCTTTTAGTCCGTCTTTTATTATAGAAATGAAATGCAGTGGTACAAAGGAATTCAAAATAGTAGTGACAAAGAATAAATTACTGCTACATTGAATGACACTGATAAACCATAGAAATAAAATGTTGCATGAGAGAAAAAAGATTTGTTGTAAAAGTATTTACTGTATAATTCCAAATATACCAGATTTAATACCAGGAAAAACTGATCCATAATGTTAGAAATTAATAGTCAGATGAAGAAACAAATAGAGTTTAGGCACTGGCTGAACACTTGAGATGGAATCTTGTGTGCTGAATTTTCCCCCAACAGATTGAGGCCCCACAGGAGACAATGATGGAGCCACCAAATCAAACAGAGGAGAGCCTGTATGCCACATTCCTGGAGACAGTCCAGAAATTCAGGGAGGACTTGGGGACTTTTCTTTCACACATCAGAAGAAATGTGAGTAGATGAGTGTAATACATTGCCACTAGGCCTTCTGCACTGTTCAAAGCTGAGCAGGAGCAGAAAAAATATTCTGGCTCAGGTAGGAGCAGCCTAGATGCAGCACAGCGGGCTGGTGGTCATGAAGTGTGTTCTTTGTTTGCACAAGGATGGCCCAGCCCAGACCTGCTCAGAGCAATAATGAAGGCTGTGTGGAAGTGAGGTTGTCTGGGCAAATGCCAGTACAAAAGGCAAGACCTCGGGAAGAATTCTGCCCTGCCCATTTGGCATCTACAGAACCTAGATTATGTTTCTACACTTGAAAGCTATTAAAAAAAATCAATAAAATAAAGAAGTACTTGAATTTGTGACCTGAGAATTGCTTCTACATTTTCCAATATCTTAAATCTGATTTAGTGGTATATTTTATAAAACAGATGTGTCTTAATTTATTTTGTTTCTTGATGTGAAACATATACTTAGTTTTCAATTTATTATTGTTATAAATAGTGACATGATAAGTATCTTTAACACAAGACCGTCTCTTATGCTTTTGTAACACTATTATTAGCATTATTATACAGTATTAGTGTTATTATATACTATTATTCACCATATCATTCTTATTCTCATTTTACCCTTGTCCCAATTGAGAATTCATTTTAATATATATATTATAATATATAAAATATATAAATGTATATGAATATACACACATTTGTGTTTACATACACATTTTCTCTCTCTCTCTCTCTCTCTCTCTCTCTCTCACACACACACACACACACACACACGCACACACACACACATTTGCAGTGCTAGGAATTGAATCCAGGGTCTTTCACATGCTAGGCAAGTGCTTCTACCACTGAGCTACCCCCCATCCCCTGCATTATATATCTTTGAAAACGTATGTATATTTTTAGAGCAGTTTTAGGTTCACAGCAACATTGAATAGTAGATACAATTGTTTCCCATATTCTCCTTACTCCACACATGCCCCCATAATCAACATTCCCCACCAGAGTGGTACATTAGTTAGGACCTTGTTGGTGCTTCCCTATCATAATTGACATTAGGGTTCATTCTTTGTGTTGTAAAATCATTGGGTTTTGACAAATGTATGATGACATGTAGCCATTACAATACCAAGCAGAATAATGCAATTCTTTCTCCCATG